AACAATACGTACATTTGCGTGAGAAATCAACAACAAAAGCAATAAGAAATATTGATTTTTATTGCTAATTCGAAATGCATTAAAGTGTGTAAGAAAATTTTGAAAGTCTAAATCCTAAAACAAAGTAAAAAAAAAATGAAAAGCAAGAGCTACATCAGTAAAGAAGCAATCAAATCAATGCGTCCACTTGAAATTCTTTAACTCTTCTCAAGAAGATTCTAGAATATTTTGCAACAACTTTAAGGATTTAACTTCGTTTTTACTCAAAATAAGAGAAAACTTGACTAAAGCTATATTTTCATTAATCTAGGAAAAATTAGTTTCCTTTTTTTACACCTCTTCCATTTTCTCTTTAAGAGAAGATTCAATCTCATCTTTGTTGTGACAAAAAGTTTTCAATTCATTTTCAAGATTTGTCAACTCAATTTGCAAGTCATCAACATGCCCAACCAATTTGGTCAAGTTCTTGAAGATTCTTAGGTTGATCTTTTACAAACGTGCTACCAAAAGATGGTTTAAAGCCAATAAATTTACAAACTTGTCTAAAGTATTCTTCAACCATGTTCTTCAGTGAGGATGAATTAACAATCTCGTGTGAGAAGAAACAACCTCTTCTTCATATCTTCATTCTTGGAGAGAATGAAAAATTTTCCGTAGTCCTTGGAGTATACCATAGTGATTCTAAATTGTGTACAATTATAAAAAGCACCTTTCAAGGATAACAAATTGTGTGCTATTATAAAGAGCACCCAAAAGATCGCAAGTGCTATTGTAAAGAGCACTCTCCAAGGATTGACAAATGTTATTATAAAGAGCACTCCACAAAATGCTACCAAATGTTTCCATTTCAATTTGAGCTTGTCCTGATTATAGACATTAACATTTGAATTTTAACTGTAAAAAAAATATATTAAAAGAAAGAAAATTATAATAGTCAAAAGAAAAAAAATGACAATTATGAAATAGGTGGATGAAGAATAAAAACAGAAATGTAAGATTGGTGGAAGTCTTTGACGTGGCAGGAGGTTGACTGAAGGTCTTTTGCTAAATTCTCTTAATCAAGTTAAGGATATTAAAAATACTCATGAACGAAAGCTTAAAGAGATAAAAAAAATAGACGACTGGCCATGATAGCCATGCTCGACATCTTTGTGCAAGCTTATGCGACTCATGCAAGCCCAATTGATAACCTTGTAGAGTACCTTTTTGAGCACATGGCAGAAAACTATAGTGTTTAACTTCAAACCCTTGCCAACTCCAATTCTTGAATATGAAAAAGGTGGGCTTTTCACTTTTGGCTTTGCCATTGGCTTTTGAAGGATGGAATGTAAATTACTATATTTACTTATTCTTTCTTCATGCATGGATCTCTTGATTTAATTCAAAGCTTATAACGTGGTAAGATACAATGAGACCTTGCATAATTTTTAACATGGCAATTGTAATGTGGCAAGAATACATTATCCAATCCTTGGCTTTATGTGGAATCTTTAGCTAGTAATGTGGCATGCACTTCTTCAAGGTGGCAAGAATGGGATGAACAAGGCGGCAAGATAACTAAGGATAAGGATAAAAAGATTAGTTGAATTACATGAGGTAGAAGAGAAAAAAATGGGCAGCATACCTTGACGAATTTTCTGCTAGCTTATTGAAATATTGCAATTCTTAAATTGGTTTTAATGTGCAGAAAATTGGTAAAAGAGAGCTCTTTTTATAAAGTAAAAGAAGAGTCTGGTTGATTAAAGGATGTAATACCAATTTCAATATACCTCTTCAAAGATTATAGTTTTATTGTAATATACTTCTTTGAACAATTTTATTGCAATATACTTCTTCAAAGATTATAGTTTTATTGCAATATACTTCTTCAAATAGTTTTATTGCAATACACATCTTCCAAGATCATAATTTTCTTACTTATGGGTAAGTATAATTCGAGTTTAACGTGGTTTGCAAGCATACCAAGACATATTAGAATTCTAAGAAATCGTAAGAAGTTTTTCATAAAAAATTTCAAGACTTGCCTACTTGCTACATTCAAAATCAAATGTGAACAACTCTTAAAGGGCCAATTGTAGAAAGGCAAAAATTATCATCTAATTACGTGCTGCCACGTGGACTTGATGACGTTATAATCGTATAATTAATTATAAATTAATTAATTTATTGGTTGAATTATTTCAAAGACATATAGTTGAACCAACTCATAGTCATATTTTTAACCAATTGAAATTTAATTATTGGTAATTTAATTTAGCTCTAATAATTTTCATATTTTAGAGATAAAAATAAAATTTGATATTTAATTTATCTCTAAATAAATTAAGAGATAAAACTTACATTCGGATAATCGAAATTTAAGGACTTAAAGTCCAGCAAATCAAAATACTTTTAATGAGTTAGAATGATTTATCTCTAATTAAATTAAAATAATTTACAGATAATTCAAAGAGACCACATTTTCATCAATGTCTCTCATCTAGCACTATAAATAGAGGCTTATCCAAGCCATTTGCAATGATTGAGAGAAGCTCAAAGATTGAGAGTTGATAATTCTATGAGATAGAGTTATTTGGGTTTAACTTTGATAGTAGTTTAGCTTAGTTATTATCGTAATGCATAAAAATTAGTAAGTTTTATTTAAATTATTTTAAATTAGTTAATTTAGGTGAGTTAATCTAATTTTAGTTAAATTTATACTTAAGCTTTTGGGATCAAAACTTAACATATCTTCTAGTTATCATCTGCAAACAGATAGTCAAATAGAATGTTTCAATGGGTTGTCAGAAGTATACCTACAACGCTTTGTACAAGTGAACCAAAAAAATTGACCCAACTTATTAGATGTGGCTCAACTATCTTTCAATTCACAAAAAAGCTCAGCCACTAATAGAAACCCTTTTGAGGCCGTCACTAGCAACAACCTAGACTTCCCCATAACTCAGTGGAATTGTATAGCAGGAAGAGTCCCTGTGCATACAACTTTACTAAAGAGTGGAGACAAAACACTAAAATCATCATAGCCTATTTAGAGAAAGCCTCTAGCAACATGAAGAAGTGGGCAAATAAAGGTCAAAGGTAGCAATATTTTAAAGTGGGAGACTTGGTGCTACTGAAGTTGGTACCTGAGCAACTTCAATTCCTAAGGAAGAGAGATCGAAACTAGTACGAAAGTATGAAGGTTTAGTACTAGTTATAGCTAAAGTGGGGAAGACTTCCTACAAGATTGATCCACCCAAGTGGATGAAGGTACACCTTGTGTTTCACGTTAGTAACCTAACGCCATTCCATTCAAATCTAGTAGATGCAAGTAGGTGTCAAGCCACAAAAGCCACCATCATCATTAAGCCACGATCACAATGCTTAGTGAAGGAGATTTTGGCAGGGAGGATGATGATAATCAACCAACGACCAACACAGGAGTACTTGGTGAGATGGGAAGGTTTGGGGCCAGATGAGATCATCTAGGAGAAAAATGCCAATATTTGCACCTTTCAATAGAAGATTAAAGAATTCCAAGCCAACCAGTCAACGAGGACATCGACAGTTTGAGTGAGGGAAGATGTCATGAGCTAACCTTGTCTCAAACTACAACAAGTTAGAGTTGTTAAGGAGATTGAGCCTTTTGTACTTGTGTGAGAAATGTTCCTTTTCTAAACATTCTAATGGCTCGTCGTGACATTTTTAGAAATACTTGTTATGTCTTTAAGGGGAAAGACCTTTTAGGAAAGGAATGCTTCATTTCAAGCATTGTAATAGCTATTGGTAAAATACTTGTAAAATTTCGTAAACTTTTTATAAAGGGTGAGCAGTCAACGGATTGTTGAGCTACATCACTAGTAGAGGTATGTTTGTAGCGAATCATCTAGGGCTACCTCTATGGCCCGACAATAATGTGTCTTGGTCCCTTTGTAGTCATTTTCATATTACTAAAACATTTTCCCTTATTTGGTCTTAGTGGCCGAATATATTTAGTTGATTAGGTGGTTTGATTTACGTACAGGATTAACATATACTTGTAAGCCACATACGTAGCCAGTATTAGAGCACGAACTTAATGAATCCATTTTTATTTAATTTGCATAGACATATAGTATAGTAATTGGGAGGGATATTTTTATAAGAAATTATACAGAGACTTATAAATAATTTAGGATTCTAGGTTAGCAACTTAATCCATTAAGCTAAGTTAAGAGAGAGACAATAATCAAATGAAGTATTGAAGGATATCATAATCTTAGGTCTAAAAATCAATCAAGTTTAGAAAAGTAATTTTGCTGAGTAAATTTAAAATAGTTTTAGTTTTTAAGTTTTGCTTTTTAATTCAATTTTTAGTATTTGGATAAAATTAAGGTGCGTAAATTTAGTAATTAATAGTAAAAATGATTTCAATTCTGTGTGGGACCATCACTCAACTAGTCATTATATTATCTTTGCGAAACTTATACTTGCTAGTGAGTAATAAATTGAACAACAAGAGCATTTCAGAGCTCGACAAGAGTAGAAGGTTTTTGAAGTTATGATATCAAGCAGCAGCAAAGTTAGTGATCAAGCCATCAAGCAAGTATAGTATATTAAATATAGTTCGTAATCAAGATCAAGTCATCAAGATCCTTAAAGCGAAGATTAAGTGAAGTTCGTGATCAAGATCAAGTTGTCAAGACTCTTAAAGACGAAGTGAAAAAATTAATTAAAAGAATTCCAGAGATTATAACTCACAACAAATATTTGATATTTGTTTCATAATTTTTCAAGTCAAAAAATTTTGAAGAAAAATTTGTGTGTACACTATATTTGCTTTTATTATGAGAATTTTCCTTAAGGCTTTTAATTAGCGCCTATAAACTCTCTGTGTATCATCCATATATATATATATATATGCAAACACGGTTTCATACAAGAAAGTAAGTATGACTTTAAAGCTCCAACATAGATAGAGACAATTTCAAGCTTACAAATACAAATCTAGCATTTATATCAGATACAAGCAGGCATCCTATCTAATGAACTAAGAACAAAAATTGCCAAAATTCCAAGAGGTATAAGCTATAACCAAGCTTAAATGGAATTAACACTCTGGCTATTTGTCTACTAGTGGAATTTGCATCTGGTGATGTTGGAGGTGACGACAAGAAAGGCTTGGGTGGGATGTTGAGGGAATCAATGCTCCCTTCCAGCATTTCTACCATTCTACTCATTGGTGGGCGGTTTGATGGGTCGGTCTGTATGCACCACAAGCTCACTATTATCATCTGCCTTACTCTCTCTTGATCATCTCCATCTATAATACCCTGCAATCCTAAATCTTCATCCAACTCTATACGATCATGAATCCAATGTGGAAAATATATCTGACTCGTACGATCAACTTCGACATTAATGTTTTTTCTTCCCCCAACCATCTCTAAAATCATCATCCCATAACTATAGACATCAGACTTGTGAGACCCCCGTCCAAAGTTCCTGGAAAATACTTCAGGAGCAATATATCCGGTAGTTCCTCTCGCGGCTGTCATCGAAATAGCACTTTCTTTTTCGGGACACAATTTAGCAAGGCCAAAATCAGATATCTTTGGACAGAAGTCAGCATCAAGGAGAATGTTGTGAGGTTTGATGTCAAAATGCAGAATACGTGTGTTACAACCACGATGCAAATATTGTAACCCTCTGGCTATGCCAACTGCAATCTGGTACAGGGTTTCCCACTCTAATTGACGATGGCCTGCCTTCTCTTGAAATATGAACTTCTCGAGTGATCCATTCGGCACAAACTCATAGACGAGAGCCCTCCGGCCACCCTCAAAACAGAAGCCTAAAAGAGTGACTACGTTCACATGGGAAGTTCTGCTAATGCTTGCCACCTCATTCACAAATTCTTCCCCATTACTTTTTGATTTTTTCAAAATCTTGACTGCTGCTACATATCGTCCATCAAGTAGCTTCCCTCTGTAAACATCGCCATAGCCTCCTCACAAATTAGCAGAAAGAAGATTTGAACTTTACTTTTTAAGCAAGAGATAATGCACCAACTAATAAGCCAAATGGTAGTAGGTAGTATTATCAAATCCACACTTGCCGCCGCTCACCTCACAAATGCTACAGTTGCTCGCTATCCAATTCATCACAAACCCTCTGTTCAACATATTTTCAACGCCTTGCTCTCCTTCATAAAAAGCCACAGGCGCCACCACCGTTTTTTTACAATATTTTGAAGCAGAATTCAGCTTAGGATCATTATTGAACAGTACCAACGTTGCATTA